TTTTGGGCGCTTTTGGGCGAAGTATGGCCAGTGCCTAAGTATTGGCGTCGTGATGACTCATGAGCGTGAATGCCAATGTTAGCCCGCAAGCGACACGTTCGCAAGCGTTTAGCCTACGGCGATTCAGGCGATTCCTTGCAGTCAACTTTATCAGTTTTCGCATACCTTTGCAATTTTCATATGTAGATTTTGTTCGCTGACAGGTTGCGGTATCGTTTTAGTGATAGGGCTAATTCCACTCTGTACCTGGAAAGAAATAGAACATAGACTTTGTAGAACATTGCTTTCTTGGTTTTACTTTGATCTTAGTATAAAACAAAGCGCTTACAGTATCATGGGAGTGTTGAACTGATGCAGCTATACGACTTGAAGTATTGGGTTGATGTGCATTTGTTGATTTAAGCTGACTTGTTGACAAATTTGTAGATAAATGAGGATTGAATGATTCTAGCGCCATGCTCTCTTCCCGGCTAATGTTGGAAGTGGTCGACTGAAACAATGAACGTTACTGCATTTGCACATGAAGATGTACCGTAGAACAAACCTTTTGTCGCCAAAACTCTTCGAAAATAGTGCTAATCGTCGTTTTGCCAATGACCTTTGTGCCATCGCTTGTAAGCTTGCCAACGAAGCCCAGCCCTGTAGCAAATTATAAGTCCTCGGTAAAGACGAGAACATTTTTCAAGAGCTATAGCAGAAAATAGGACAGAGTTCACAAAAACATACTTTCGTTTGGTTTCCATTTCCAGCTTAGTAAGTTTCCTGTGCTTTTTCTTGTAGGATTTTGGCGTAACCGGTTTGACTTTCTCGCAACCTGTAAGACAGAGTTTGACTAAACCGCTTCTCAACTACTATACTGCAAATCACCTCCCCAAGAAACGCGAAGCATTCATCAACAAAACCATTCGGCATCGGAATTTTTGAGATCAGGGAAGCAGACAACGCAAATGGGTTGATTATATCGATAGGCACTTGATTGAGATCAGGTCCATCATCGTATTTAGAAAAAGTGAGCAATGCACTTTTGAGCATAGAAATCTTTCGTCGCTGTTCGAATGGTAAAGTCACATCTTGTAGGCAACCGACCAACTTTGCAATAGTATCCCCGAGATCAACGGTGCGGTCGTAGCGGATCCAGTCCGGAACACATCCTTGGCTGTAGTTAGCCCAGGCCCACTCGGTCATTGTCAAGAATTTGGACTGAGGAATAGGAACGATATCAACGTCATACGCTAGATATGCGTCAATATAATTCATATCATCTAACCACTGCGAAAGCAGTTCGGGAAGAGAACGATCCAGCTGGAACACCCTGTTTGGCTTCAACTTGAGCAGGGTAGCCATGATGGTTACATCTGGGTGGAATATATCCTTGGGTATCAACTCTATTCGCGGGTGGCGTAGGATCTTCTTCACTGCTTTGAAAAATGCTTTGGGTGGATAAAGTGAAAATGGTGGTCTAGTAACGTCCTGCAGCATCTCAAGCAAACGGACCAGAAGGAATAGCTGCCTGCGAGAGAAGCATGGATAAACAGTCCAAGGGACGGTCCCTTTCAACATCATTATAGTCCACCACATTTTGATTGCTTGTAGCTTGACGTCCATATCATCAACGCCAACGATGTCTGGGATTCTCATGCATAGCGCAAGTTGCCAACCAATTTTGGAATCTATCGTTGGCTCCAAAGGTTTGAGCCATTTTCTCCAAGGTCTCCCAACTCGCGGCAAGTTCGGGACACCGAGAAACAGATATAACGGAGAAAGAACCTTGCGATTCAGAATTTCCGTGGAATTTCGTTGCATTCGAAGTTTGATCAAGCTATTCCACAAACTGCTAG